CCCATTTGGGTGGCTTTGCAAGATAGGCCCCGTATGGGCATATGGAAAGCCTAGAAGTTATATTTGGTTAAAACCCAAGAACTAGAATATTCTTTAACTGAACTATATATGAAATATAATCGACCATCTGGTAAAGTTAGTTTCAATAGCTTCTTTAATGTGTTCAATCAACACCGCTCAATAATCAAAGTTGAAACCCTTCCAAATGGGATCTAAATGTAAATTTCAAAATCTAACTAAAGAAACATATCTGATTAATTAGCTGTAAACATTCTAATTTGCAAAATCCCAACTATTAATTGGGGTTATATCGATCTGATCTAAAATAAAAATAATCTCTTCTTGGTCCTCCAAGTTATCGATGCTTCTGACCTCACAGCAGACACCTGATTAGTACAGATTAAATGGAACGTAGACATACATATACCACCTAGTTTTTAAGCTTACTCCATTATTTCAAAGTAATTAAACCAAATTAAGTGGTACACCTAATACCAGTCTGCTCCTCTTAGACCACGGACTGAAACTTAAGAAGCCACAGTTGGATCCCTGATTTAGGATTAAACTCTTGCATCACCATCATCAATATTATTTCCACCACCATTAAAGTCTACTCCAAATATTTAGATTTTAGAATCTGCAATATATTGAAGACCCAGACGTCAAACCTATAGAAATTGAGTAAATGATTCCTATTCCTTTCCCTATTTTTTGGTGATCATGAGATATTCCACAAAGAATAAAGTTAGATTTGTGTTGTCACTCATGAGTCATGAGGCATTTCTTTCTGCAACTCACAAAAAGGGATATTGCAGTGCCCCACTTTATTAATATTAATGATAATATAGAATTTGAACCATTTATTAAAGTATATATGCATACATGTGAGGAGCCCTATACCACTAGTAAGAGGCTGACTCATGGCCATTGTACTAAAACTTCTACACCGAAGTCTTGAAGGGCTTATGCCCATTTGTTGCTTCAAATATAAGCATTGGGTAATTCAAACTCAAATTCCAAATTTTCCATACCTGTATCTAAGAATTATATAAGATGGGAACTTCTAGGTATGCTAACGGATCGAATCTGACCGGATGTAGGTTGAGTAAAATTTGATTTGTTTATATTCAAACTTGAATTGGATCTTATTATATTGGGATTTTAATTGATTTTAGATTGCAATCAGAATTGTAGAAATAAATTAAATTAAAAATAATCAAACCATTATATATTATTATTAAAGTGAACTAAAAATAACTTTGATATTATATTTCATGAACAACCATAAATTACTTGTTTGAAATTTGAAACTACTACAGTTTAATAAAACACATCATTTACTAATAGATACAACATTAATTTTAAATTTATACAAACATATTAATTCAATTATAAACAGACCCAATTCAGGTCACTCTTAATAGGGTCAAATTCAAATTTAAATTGGGACAAACAGATAACATTTTGCCTCCCTTACTTGCCTAACCAATATATGGCAGTGTGACTCAGACTGTTATTGGGGTATCCAATGGGATCGATCGTATATGGACTTTTTTTTTTTCTTTTATCAAACTCTCCATTGGAGACAACGGCCAAAAAACAACACTACCCCAGCAACAGCATCATCTCTATGTTACACACACAATCAAGATTTCTTATATTATTACTTATTTTTATAGAAAATGAAATTTATTTGACCATTTGATTTCTTTAAATATATATATTTTTGGCATAGAGAGACCATTGTTGGAATGCACACTAGATTCATTTCCATCTCCTACTCAGTCAATGGGTGACCATTTGGCCTATTGAGACACTTGCCTCAATCCAAAGAGGCATGATTCAATCAATCAAACGGTTCTCTTGCAACCTTCATATTAGCATTAAATGCATAAGAGAACGTTGGAGGCTGAAAATATTATAACTAGAAACTCAGCTTATTTTCTAAACACAATAAATGTAACAGTATAAGCCTCCAAATCTAAGCCCAATTCAGATTATCTAGTACCTTGTTGCGTCTTGCTCCAAGGAACTGAGTATCTCGGATCCTCTTCTTCCTTTTATTTTACAGGTAAGGATTAGCAAGGGGCGTTCAACGTGGAAGGTCCTTGGAATTTAGGCATCGAACTTATGTCATATCTTACGGCCAAAATAGTTGGGTTTAAGACTGAATTGAATTGAGTTGAGATTATATCATAGCTCGCCACTTTTGACATTATTTGTTATTTTTTCCTTGTGTGAAATAAAACCAGACATGTTAAACGTTTAAATAGTTTTTAGCTTTTCTTCTTCTTCTTTTCTTTTTTTTTTTTTTTTTCTTTATAGGGTAAGTTATTTTGTGCTTCCATAGGAAAAACATATACATCACTATATCACTAATTACCAGGAGAAACTGTCTGGGCAAAAGAAGAAATTGCCTTGGGAAGTGTTGTGCAACTGCATATGTAGGGTTTTTGTAATGGCTTGGCTCCCCATGTTTGGGAATAGAGTTAACTAGGTAGTTGGCAAGCTATATTCTTTGCACATGGCCTACACAAGCGGACTTTATGAGGTTTAGCCCACTTGTGAATTAATGAAAAGAACCAACATCTATATCAATTTATTTATAAAAAGTATCATCAAGTTGATACAATATAACAATATTAATCAATCACATCATCATCAGCACCGTCACCACCACCATTAAATCCCTAAACCCAACTATTTTGGACATATAAATTTCTCTGAAATTTACCCTCCAATATTGGAAGTTAGAATTTTATTTCAAACTAGGGTTGTAGCTTATAGGCAGCAAATATCTCTTATGCTGTAAATTATGACAACTGAAGTATTCCATTTCATCTATAACATCTAGTTGAGTTAGGCTGTGTTTGCCATGCTTTCAATTAATTTTGGTGAAGTTTATAATTCTAAAAATCAATTATAAGGATGTGGGCAAATTACTGAAACCAAATCTTTTTTTTTTTTTTTAAATCAAAACTACTCTGAGAATTAGGGGTATTCATGGGTCGGGTTGGGTCGGTTTATTGGGGTTTTCCCAACCGACCCGACCTGGTTGGGTTACCTGAGGTAGAAACCGAAACCGATCCAGTGATAGGCCAAACCGACCTGATCGATTTGAGTCGGGTTGGGTCGGTTTCGATTTTGCTCCTGTACAAAAGGACACCTAATTGAATTCTAATTGTAATTGCCTAATGGGTTGCCTATTTGGTGTAAAAGATTATAGAAAGTTAGAAACTAGGATAGATTGCCTATTCTAATTGTAATTGCCTAATGGGCCTTCTAGTTCTAATAGAAGACTAGTTATATTTAAGTAGGAAACTATTCAAACTAGGAACTACCGAACTAGTAGAAGACTAGTTCAGTTCGGATCAGGTTGATTTTGGATTTCACAGAAAAAAACCGAAACCGACCCGATATATCGATTTATATATTTACCCAACCCAAAACCAATCGGTACTGATAAAAACCCGGCTGACTCGAGTTAAATCGGTCCGAGTTGATCGATTTGGTTGGGTTGAACATTCTTATGAATAGCCCCACTGAGAATTGATATTTTGAAGCTTAAAAATTTAGCTTCGAGCAAGGATCAGTTTTAGCTGATCATAACTTATTCTTTAAACACTGGTTCTTGGAAGCAGGGTTTGGCCGGTTTTTATACCCAAATATAACCTAGTGAGATGCATATAATACCATACATCTCGATTGTTAAGATCACCAATATATTGAATACTTTAGCATTGGGCCTATTTAAAAGAGTGAAATGTTAATATTCAGCCCAACAAACATATCTAAAAATTATCAGACTAAAAAATTAAAAAGATATCAAAGTGACTGATTAAGTTCAAGTAGGTGGAATTTAGACTTACCATGCATGCATGCTCCATCAAGTGGGTGGGCAAAACACAATAATGAAACCCAAACCTACCACACCAAATGACAGTCAAAAGAAGTGAAGTGATGGATCAAAATCAAAAACAAGCATCCAAAATAGATTTGTTGATCCCTATATTGACTGTGCCCGTCCAGGGAGGTCCCCCCTAGACAGTAGCCATGTTGCCAACTGGGTTTCCTTGTACCAAATTCAATAAAAGATGGGTTATATGCAGCTGCACCTGGTTTTAGTCTTTTAATGTTTAGAGAGAAAGAGAGAGAGAGAGCTCCAGTCTCCAGTGCACCTGACACTGCATTATTTTTCCGGAATTTGATAAGGGGTCTGGATGCGCTGCACCCAGCAACCCCACTTTTGGTGCCTTGCTCCACTTTCCGATATTTCCTCTGTTCCGGACGCAACTTGCAAAGCCTGGGACCTGGGTGGGTCCCCTCCCCGACCGACCGTCCGTCCATGCACTATCCATTCCTCCTTAATCACTGCTTCAAAAATCAAAATTTACAGGGGGAAAGGGGTGTGGGGGGGTCCCTCTGCATGCAACTTGCCTCCTTATTAATAAAAAATAACACCGAGCTTTAGCATTAACAATATTCAATCACTCATCCTCCCAGGAAAAACTGGCCGAAACCACGGTCGTGTAGTGCCGTTTCAAGACATGGGGTGGCCCAGTGTTAGGAGGTGGGTCCCGTAGATCCCTGATTGCATGATTTGCAAGTTGCATCTAGGACGCCTGCAGGCTGCAGCGAAAAGATAAACTGGAGGGAGGGACGGAAAGAAGAAAGATACATTGAACTCCAACCTCCAAAGTTGTTGGTGCATGAGGGTATGGGTCCCATGGCCACGATGGCTTTGCATGTGCACCATCTGTGCCTGCTCTGTCATGCCACAGTGACTGTACCGCTCTCGGTTGCCGCTGCGGCGCCTTCGGTATTATTGTTGCCTACTCACCTTCTCTCGTCTCTCCTCTACTACTACGTTAGGCAATTTTAATATGCACGCATGAGATCACGCTGCAAAATATCGTATTCGTATACAGCACTCAGTCACACACCTCCGCGCAATTTAGGTCCAACGTATAAAAAGATGATAAAATGATCTTTATAACGTGTGTGTATCAAGAGTATAATCATCTTATTTCTCTCTTATATATATGTAAATTCAAGTTTATACAACAACAAAAGAAAAGAGAGAAAAAATTACGAAAAATAACATGAAAAAAAAACAAGAACTAAAGAGAGGCTTTATTGTGTTACAAAGAGAAATGAATGATCTGAACCGCCAAAACTGGATATCTCTGGACACAACAACGGCAAATCAAGCCACATAATCAAGTCCCAGCTCCATCTTACACGTATCGTTGCCTGATACGTGGAGATCACTGCGACCTTTGACAGGACTCGCGCTTGGGTGACGTGAGACCGGCTCGAAGCCGAGTGTGAGTTCTAACTCGACCTCATTGTCATCAGTATGGCTATCGGAGGTCTTTAGGGCAGCTTCTTGCTGCTGGGGTCGACTCACAAGGGAGTGCTCCACGGTCTCTACGGAGAACATGCTGTCGGTCTCTCGGCTGTCCCCTTCACCGTTGTGCTCGGAATGGTGGCTTCCAGAAGATTCGTGACTCGTTGCCCGCTCGAAACCATCCGGGTAGCACCTGCGCCACCTCAGGTTACAGACGGGGGTAGCGTCGGCAACAGGCGGTTCGGATACTACCAAATCAGCAGTAGAGACGAGCTTGGGCTTGTTGGGCTTTGATGCGGAGCGCTTGAAGCGGCTCCGACTCTTAACCTTGTGAAGGTCTTGAGAAGCTGCCCAGTTCTCATCCTTGGAGACATGTCGTATGTCGTACGCTTTCATAGGGGGGCTAGGGCTGACAGCCGCTTCAGAAGCGATTTGGGTGATCGGGTTTCCCTTAAGGACAGCTTCCACGGCGGCTTGGCAGAGAGGCCAGTTTCCGGACCAGAGCAACCCGACTGATCCATATATTGGGTTCACGATCCTTCCGCATGCCTCGTACAGGAGGGACCTGAATATCGCTGTGATAACATGGGACAACAAGTTCAGTAAAGCTGAACAGAGAGAGAGAGAGAGAGAGAGAGAGAGAGAGAGAGGTGGTGCTTACCAGGACGGAGATGTTCGGGGCCGGCATTAATGAGGTTCATGAGCCCGGCGCGGCCATAAAACTTGGCGAGGAAAACAGTGGCATTGGCTTGGGACTCGGGGTTCTTGATCCATTGGAGACAAGGTCTGATGCTGCAGTTCTCACTGCAACCTTTGCGAAGGACTCGACATCCATTACAGCTCATCCTCATATTGACTACCGTTGTGTTAACCAACAAAATCACTGCCGCTTGGTCTGACTGGTGATGATCGATAGGGGATTCTGATGTCTCTGAGAGAAATTGAACGAGAGAGAAGCCAAGGGTTTGGCTTGCGTCCTTTTGGGAGAGGGAGAAGTCTTGCGCGAATGTGAGAAAAGAAGCGGGGGGGTGAGGTATTTAAGGGAGCGATGGTTTGGGAAGGAGGGGCCGTGGATTTGGAATTGGAGGAAGGGTCCGCAGCGGTTTCCTAAATAGCGGTAGACTTGTTGGAATCCGGTTTTATTATTTGGGGCTGGGGGAAACTACTGGATTCGTCTCTCCCCAAACTGCCCCTCCGTCTTTTTCAAGTTTTTGTCTTTGTATCCTGCCCCCACTTCCAAAACTTTCACCCCTTCTTTTTTTCTTTCTTTCACTCTTTTACTCAAACAGGCGAAAATTGGTCCCCCCTTCTGCCCCACCCGCTCTGTAAACACTCTTTTACTCTCACCCGCTCTGTAAACACCCACTATAATACGTGTTCCATCGGGTCTGCTTTTTTTTCTTCTAATTTTCAGTAAAGAATATCCACGTGGCTAAGTTGTTAGAGTATTAAAAAGCTAAATATAGCACAACACCAACTCCGTACACAATGAGACTGACGTGGCATATGACTATTGTCTCCGTAATGTCGAGGTGCCGTAGAAAGAATCGGAGTTTGAATTTAAACGACTTAAAAGTACAGCATGTGATGTGATGATCTAGGAGGAGGGCAATTGGATTGGATCGGGAGCCTGTAATAAGCGTCCCTTCTCCTAGTTTTTATTACAGGAAGCCGACATAGCCTGTCCAGGTTAACCTTGGATTGTCCTCTCCAAAAGTTAAAAAAAAAAAGCAGCAGGTTGAAATGGTGGTGGAGGAAAGAGATGAGAAGTTGAGAACCCCGTCACGTCTCTCTATCTCTCTCTCTCCCTTGGGACTTGGATGTTGGATCATTGAATCCATCCATAGTAGTAAACTGCCAGCGATTATCCAATTCTGCACGTGCGATCGCATGATTTACCTTGAATCTTGAGCCACTTGATACAGCTCATCCATATGTTTTTTTTTCCTGTGGGGGCCTTTCATTTCATCCGCCGAATGAGATCGTAGTTGACAAAGATCGGACGATTATTGTTCAATTTATCTCCGAAGAATTGAAAAAGGACAGTGCGGGGGTAAATCGTGCGTAAATAAGGAAGAATCCGAGGGTGAAGCAGGTGAGAGAGGGCCATGCAGGAGGGTCCAATACCATGAATATCTGGGAATGGAGCGCGTGGCAACCACGTTCAGGTTCAGACTGCGGGCGATCGCCACATAACGTGAGAAAAATAAACACTATATTCCTCCCTCTCCACATCCACTCCTGGTATTCGGGAATCCGTACCCGAGACCACATTTTCCACTACAAAACCGCTGTTTTTTTGTCTTTCCTAGTTTTTCTTCACAAAATTTGTGACTGTGGGCGCCTGATTAGAAACGCCAGCGGTTTTTAGGGGAGGTTTAATGTTTATCCTATTAATAAGAGAAATGCCCCACTCTTTCTCTCTATGTCCCTCTCTCCCCGCCCTCTTACTGGTTACTAGCCCCTTTTACTTTATTTTTTTATCGATTTTTTAATCATTTTATTAAATTGACTTAACATAGATAATAAATAATTAATGGGCTCCCAACAATCAAACCCTTCCAATTCGGTGTATCCAGTCGCCTTTAAAAAAAAAATCCCCATTTTTTTTCGGTGGATGATGGTAATTTGGATGATTGCCAGTTTGCCACTTGCTAATATTTTCACTCTTATTGAGTTTTTTCTTGCTACTTTTGAAACTCCAAATTCTACTTTTTGACGTTTATACCCCTGCATATTTTGTTCACCTATAAAACGTAAAAGGATGTATACGTCACTTTATGGAGTTAGCAACCAATGAGATGATTTGTGAGTGCCCACCCAAGATACGAATCCAATGATTATGCTTGAGACTACGATCTTCAATCCAACGGCTTTATTATAAATCACAATTTATTGGCTCGGAGTCGATCTGAAGTGACTAAAATACCCTTTATGTGAAAAAGTACTTGCATTATATACATTTTAAGTTGCAAAGCAGGTGGTCCAACTTCCTTATCAGAGATATTAGGCCCGGAGGACATGAATGGAATTTCAAAGAAAGTGGAAGGACACAACACGATTTCCTGGAATCCGCAGAAAAAACCAGAAAAGGGGGAAAAAAGAAAAAGAAGAAAAAAAGTCCTCTGTGGTTGTAGTTATTCCCTACAACTTGGAACTACAGTGGGTAGGAGAGCGAGGCGGATGCTTTCATTTATTTTTCTCGAACTATTTGTTGGGTGGGCCGTCGATTCGTTTTTTCCACGTAAAAATGTGGCCCAATATTTTATTTAGCCAAATTTCAATTATTTCTTTGTGTTGGGTCTTCTTTGAATAATGGGCCTTAGCGGAGTAACTGTCTTGGGCGGGCGTGTGTCGTACACACATCCACTTTGAATGGGGCTTGCGGAGGGAAGAGGGCTTCCCTCTAAATTCTAATACAATCTCTTCCTTCAACTCTCACAGTATGATAGTACAATTGTACTCCCTTGCTTTCCCTATTATGCGCGGATTTGACTCAGAATCTACGTGTCAATCCATTAAAATATTAGTGACTTTCTTGGTAAGGAAGAAGCTTCTAAGGACCTATTCCCATTTTAAGTCCACAGGAGCTGAGGCAAAACCAAAGGAGACGGTCCACTCCATTTTAAATTCATCAATCTATGATTTTGTATCTCTGGCCATCTGATTCTTATGATCCTCCTTTGACAGCAACCCAACGGCTAACAACGTGTTGGAACTCGATAGAGATGAACCCACCCCGTTCTTGACCTTGGATCGGGAAATCTCTTTTCTCGGGGTTGATGACTTTGATGGGTAGCTTTACATCACATAAAGATGATACGTGTACAAGGTACCAAAGTACAGACAGTAAATAGGGCTAGGGTATACGGCTATTCATAGGCCTCACTTGCATAGTAGACCCCACGCTTTCTTTCATCACTCGATGGAATCTCCGTTTTCTGGAATAATTAATCAACAATAACACAAGTCTATACGTCGATGTTCCAGATTCCATCAAATCGTGGAAACAGGTTTATACGGAAATGTTTTATTGAAATCCTGTTGTTGTTTTGTTTGGGTTGGGGCTAATTATTAGAATAATAGCAACAAAATAATAGTAATCCTACGGTTTTTGACAATGTCTACATGTCTGTCCATAGAATTGGTTAAGCTATCACTAATCGTTCGTACTAATCCTCCAAACAGTAATCCAATAATAATGGGTCATTATACAAGGGAGAATAATCAATCAGTAATCCAATAGATATATATATATAGAGAGAGGAGATACGAGATATCCTCTTGATTATAGGGAGAATAATCAATCAGCCCAGATCAGAATTTTATAGTTTTAAAGTGTAGGGGGAATGTATTATGACCGTAAGTATGTTAAATTTATGGAAAGGATGTGGTTTATCCGGAAAGGATTAGTAGTAGGGGGGGGGGGGTTGGAATTCAGAATTCTGCATTGGATGTATCCATACTTCTTCGTTGATTAAATGGTTTTGATCTCTTCTATGATATGATTTATCATCTATGGGGATGAAGCAATCATTATTATATTAGGTTACATTATTCGTAAATAAACAACTTTTTTAATTTAAAAAACAATAATTTATTTGAAGTGAGACTAGACCAACCAAGCAGGGCTAGGAGATTATATATGGATAGATATATTAAACTTTGAGTTAGCAAATTATGCCACCATAAGCTCAGTACAGCTATATTGGGAAAAACTAAGCTTTAATTTAAATCATTCTATGTAAGGTAATAAAACTCTTTGTACTGCTTGAATTATCTATCAACTACTATTTGGAGAATAGATGCCTCTCCAACCAACAATGGCTAGGATGTGCCATTTAAATGCACCTTCCCTAATCACAATCCAATCAACTTGACAATCACTGATTAGGAAAGTAAAGGGTTGTTTGTCAATGTATATGATTTTTTTTTTGTTTTTCTTTTAAAACAAAAATAACTACCATATCAGCAAAAATACCTTTCGTAGCCATTTAGTCTTAAGACACGTACACAATTAAGTTGTTGAAATCATCAAATTACACAATAATTTTTGGAATACAGAAGTTGACAATGTCTTATACAGTATAAATTATAGGCAAATGATGCTTCACAACTAAATTGGGAGAGCTTATAAGACTATGTATATTTTATTTAAACATAGTATATGTAAAGTATTGTGTTCTAGTTTCCTTTCTTTTGCATAAAACAAAATGAAAATCTTGCGTAGACCTTGTTTTCTTTGGTTGTAACTATTCTTCAGTCCAAACCAACCTTCTATTAGATTAAAAATATTCCTTACAGTAGGATCCAAGTAAAATGATTAAACCCATTTTATTGGTGGATTATTCTAATCAGCATTTCTCATTTTTTTTTTATAATGGTCCAGAATGGTGGCTGTTGTTGCTTTATAGCCAGCTGTAAAAAATAGATACAATATTCAAGATACTTTTATAATTTTAGTATGAAAAGCTTATAAACAGTTGAACTTATGTATAGAAGTAAATAATACCTGTATTTTGTAGTTTGATTTGATTTATGTCTTTAGTAGCTATCCAACTTTCCTATGGATCTAATAGGAGAGTTATTTAATCTAATCAAACAATTCAGTAAATTTAATCTATAGTTTTAGAGAATTAGGGAACTAATTAAGTATGCTTTAATAATAATAATAATAATAATAATAATAATAATAATAATAAATAAATAAATATGAAAAATCATGTTATGAAACAAGTTATGTTATGTAGGAGGTGGGGGCGGTTGATTTTACAAGACACCCAAGTTGTCAATAGTGGAGTCACCGACCTAGCTGGCAAGTGCTACAAACCTAGCACATTTCTTTTCTTTTCACTTGTATGGAATTACTGTGTGTTTGTTGGATTTTGTCATTGGTATTTGGTAGATAGATGAAGCATCATAATTGACTCCAAACCATGCATGCTTAACAAGGGAATCTACATGAAGCATGAGTAGGTTTTAGCTTTTCTTGCCCACTAATTACCTGCCATATAGAAGCGTGAGTAACGCCCCCAACTTCACAGGTGGCGTGACAATTGAC